TCTGGGAGTTGGATCGGTGTATAACAAATGTCATCATTGAGGTGTTTATTTTATGGACTAATTTTTAAGAGATGTTAGTCATTTCAATTGAGGCAAGCCAATAATGAGATCATAAGCATCACTAGGATGACAGCTCAGTCATTGAACGACATTTTTCATTTATTAATTAGCGGATTGAAGCATTCATCTTCAATAGAGAGCTATCAGTTCAGAAAAACACCATGAATTTCAGAATGAAGATTTATAATCATGTAACAAAATGTCTTAACTATCTGTTCGGTCGAATAAAGCTACTAGTGAACCTTTTTTTACTGAATGACTAAAAGTAACTGGTCAATTAGTGAGACCCAATGCATTGGAATACCACTGAGTCTGAAATAAATTATAACTAAAGTTCGAACTTTACTATTTAATTTACATTGGTTTTGGGTAGCCAATTAATTTATCTAATCCTTGCATAAAATGTGTTGCTCGAAGCCGACTATATCAACCTATTCTTTATAAATATTGGGTGTATCCTAGGTCAGTTTATAAACTACATTAATCACTCTTACTTCCTCGAACTTAAAACTAACAATATATCTTCACATCAATGGAATTAGATTATTTTTGTATAAAAGTGTGTTAGCGGGACATAGACTGAATTAAAGCATGCTCAATGCACGATTGCTTTGGTGCACGCTGATTGGCTAATTCTTAACCAAGCAGCGTTAGTCAATACTTAGTGAACACTCTAGAAATCTTCTCATGTAAAAACTATAAATATACTAACGTTTTCCCTATTGTGCTTTTTACTTCCATCTAACCTTGTTATCTGGAATATAATCCCTTTGCCTGTACAACCGTGTTCTGATTTGGGGACTTGTTGAGTGAATTAATGTCCGAGAATACTAACCAACAGGAATAGCTGGGTTATAACCATGCGAGAGAATTATAACAAAGTGATCAATGTATTGTGTTTTAATTCATTCACCAAGTACAAGTTTATCTAGTCGCCTTGGAAAGTTTATTATATGTCTGATGGCTAGTATATACATGATGCGACTAACTAAACCAACGATTTACTTGTTGAATATCCTTAAACCATTACACTAATATATTATTCCATGTGTAATATATTGTTTGTCATGTTTAACTCGTTTTTTTCTTCTTTATTTCTTTGTTTCTATAGACAATTTAGAGCATTATTTGTAGAGATTAGACGATATTTAGAAAATAGTATAAAAAGTAATTATTCATCAATGAATAATATTTCTAATAAACATTATGATGGATTAAATTCGTCTAATTCTACAATTAATAATGGTGGTACATTATGTGAACATGTTATATCAGCTTGTTTATTTCTACGTTATATTTGTCCAGCTATTTTATCACCTTCATTATTTAATTTAATTTATGAATTTCCTAGTGAACCACGTATATTACGTGCATTCACTTTGGTAAGTGATAATTTGTTTGTTTTTTTTAGAAAATATAATAATAATAGTAAATAATTCGAATCTTGCGAGGCGGAATCGTGGATGTGCATTGCTCAGGAGTCCCACAATGGGACGAAACAGTCGTCCAGTGCTTCCAGGTTTTCTATGGTTTTCTAGCTTCAATTGACTCATAATCTCAACCATTGAAATTACTACAATATATCCAAAAAAGCCCTTCTGATATAAATATAATTTAGTCAACATATCATTACAGATAGACATTTGTTTTCTTGTTAAAGCGATAATGAAAATTGATATCTAAATGTAACTTTTAGATCATATAAAATTGTCAATCTTTTAACTAGACTTCAAACTTAAACTATGAACTGTTATATAAGCTGATAGATGTTTCGTGGATTGATTGGGGTTAGACATTAACACCGTTGGGATCCGGCCGGCTCAGTAGTTTAGGAGTTAAGCGTTCGCGCGCGAGACTGAAGGCTGTGGGTTTGAATCTCGCTCGCGGAATCGTGGATGCGCCCTGCTGAGCAGTCTCACAATAGGACGAAACGGCTGTCCAGTGTTTTCAGGTTTTCAATGGTGGTCTAACATCAATAAGTTCATGATCTCAAAAACTTAATAATCTCCACAACCCTATACTGAAAGTTGGATATATCGACTAATGAGCCTATCTGAGTAGGTTTATATCCACTGTGGTTTCAACATGTGTATAAATAGATCTTTTGGATTTTGGGAACTTACACCATCTTCGTATTTTCCAAAACAATCAACCCCACATTAATTGATGAATACGAAAAACTTTTTATTGGAACTTGAGGATATGCTAGTGTAAAGTGCGACAACTTGAACCGAAATATATTTTTTCCATGTTCTTGCTTGCTTATGACAAGATCCACTGATGTAATTGGTTGTGGTTAGGTGGTTTTGAATAAAATACATACATCACATTATGCAAACTAACGACGTATTGCTGGCATATTTTGCTTTAACATTGTTGTGAAATAGTTTCTATGATTGTTTCTTAAACCACGTAGATTTTAATAGCTGATTATCATGATAAAGGATTTGTTTTTATTTGACGAACATTTATGCATGTGGAATTAAACTGATAACAATGTTATGAATAAGTAATTTTGAAGAGTAAGATTAACTGTAAATATCAAGTAGTGTAAAATTTTAGGCATTTTATTTAAAAGCCTGTTTAGTTTTATGGGACTTGGAAAAATTTAATAATCCTTGATTTTCAGTTGATAAACATTTAGAAACTGAGTACTGTTAAGGGGATATCGGACAATTGCCTTGGTGCAGCGCTAGTCGATACTTGGAGAACACTCTAGAATCTTCTCATGTAAAAACTATAAATATGTTTCAGTTTCAGTTTGGGAAGGACAGGAGGCTCGATGGCCTATGTTAGTCCTGGCAATGGTGGTCTCTCAGTTGATCCAACTTTCTTTTGAAATAGTCGACGGATGGAGCCTCAACCATGTGCTGAGGTAATGAGTTCCACTCGTTGATGATTCGATGGGAAAGTCGATAGTCATCTGACAAGTAATTTGTTCTGGGCTTGTGAACTTTTTTGGAGTGTTCTCGTAAATTCTCTGTTTTGGAAGACAAGAAAAATGAGGGCATATTAGGTGCAAATTTATCACTAAGCGATTTGTAGACTGTAATCAAGTCGCCTCTATTTCTGCGATGTGACAACCGGAAAAGGTTTAGCTTGGCCAGTTGAGCATCATACGGATGCTTCGCTATTCCGGGAATCAGCTTAGTTGCTGTTCTCTGAACCTTTTCCAGAAGCTCGCTGTCTGATTTTAAGCAGGGGCTAGTCGCTTGTATGCAATATTCAAGTTTCGGAAGTGTGAACACTGTATACAAAGTCAAAAACGTTTTAGCGTTGACATGACTAAAAGCCCTACGTATTGACCATAAGGTTCTAAAACCTTTGGTGGCTATTGCACGGCAGTGTGCAGTAGACTTTAAGTCTTGGTTAACGACGACTCTCAAGTCATTATGTGTCTGGACGACAAGTAGTTCTGTGTTATTCATCGTGTGTGTATCTGTACCTTGATGATCGATATGCATCACAACACAGTTGGAAGTATTTATCGGCAACTGGCAGGTTTGAGACCATTCAGATAATTTCTTCAGGTCATTTTGGAGTTCTAAGCTATCACCCTTACATCGTATCGTTCTCCATATCTTGACATCGTCAGCATGTAGCAAGACCGATGATGATAGGAGGCGAGGAAGGTCATTTACATACAAGAGGAATAGCACTGGCCCCAAAACTGTACCCTGGGACACTCCACTAAGCACAGTTTCCCAGCTAGATAACTTTGAGTTCACTCCTACTCTTTGTTGGCGCCTAACAAGGATGTCTTATCCACACCAATAGATTGCCTTTGATTCCGACATTTCTTAGCTTATACAACAGCGAGTTGTGCGTAACTTTATCAAAAGCTTTGCTGAAATCAATGTAGGTTGCGTCCACAGGCAACTTTTGGTCCTTAATAGCGACTAATAAGTTAGTGAGACAAGAATGACCTATTCTGAAACCGTGCTGCTTCTCCGAAAGGATCCGGCTTTGATCGAGATACTTAAACAGCTCCTTCCGAATAATCTTTTCTAAGATTTTAACAACCACACTAGTTAGGCTAACGGATTGGTAATTCTCAGGTTTATGTTTCGTACCTGTTTTGAAGACAGGACTTACTATGTCGTTCTTCCAGTATTTTGGTAAACGACCCTGCGTAACGGATAGGTTAAAGCATATACCTAAAGGGTTCGCAACGAAGTTGGATAATTCCTTCATTAGCCTAGGATGCGATTCATCGAGCGTCGTGGATTTACCTATGTCAGACTTATTTAGCGGACCGAAGACATGGAGTTCTTTAATGGTCACGCTATCCAGTGTATGTGTGGAGGGATTTGTATGCCCTGACTGGAGGGGTGCTTCTATGGTATATACATAGGTAAAGTAGTTCGAGAACACTTGAGCCTTACTAAAGTCGTCCTCCAATAGTGATGCGGCAATACTGTCTACCCATAGTACAGGAATATTTCCTCTTCATTTTGTCCTTTGGTTTATATAGGAATACAAGCGTTTAGGACATTCTATGGATTCCTTAACAATTTTTTCTTCGCACGACTTTCTAGACTTACGGAGGGTTGATGCACAGGTATTCCGAGCTTTTCGATACTGAGATTTTGTCTCATCAGTCCGCAGTAACCCAAATATATCCCACATTTTTCTTCTCTTACGGAGAAGAATGCGGACCTCTTTACTGAACCATAGTGGAGAGTTTGTCGGCTTCCTTAGTATAGGTCAGGGAATGAGGGGTGCAGTAAATTTCAAGTATAAATTTCGAAATGCGTCCCAAGCCGTTTAAATTGAGGACTCTGAGTCAAACAGATACAATAGAAAACAAAGTACCGACGACAAACTAATTTAGAAACAGGGCGGCCTGCTTGAGCATCTGGGCTACCTGTTCCTGCCATCTAGATATTTCAACAAGTTATCTATCGTTGTTTGTTTTAATATATCATTATGTTTATTAATCGCATAACCTATTCTGCTGCGTTTCTGAAAAGTGTACAACCTTTCGTTGTCAAAGTTACAGAAAACTCAATAAGAGACAATATGGTTGCTGGCAATGTACAACGAAAAGAATGCACATTATTCAGTTGTTCATTCACTGAAGTGCTAACATCTAACTGGCGTTTTCTCAATATTTATCGCCAGGACCGACCAAGAAGAAAGAAACGGAAACTTGTTGAAATACTTTGAGCTGAGAATTCTATATTGTACCAAAATTATAATATTGAATAAAGCTAATAATAATATAAAAAATATAAAATATATAAACGATACTCTAATCGAATACTTTAACTGAAATAAATTCAATTAAAGTGAAAACAATAGTCTTGATAGATAATAAACGATCAAAACAATAGAATTTACTCAGCGAGGAAAAATACCACTGTCCTTTTAATTAGCGCGCGCGTTGTTTTCATTGCTTTTCTTATTGTACTTCCTACTCTTTCATCTACCATTGTTATTTGGAATACGATTTCTTTCCTGTTCGACCGTGTTCTGATTTGGGGCCTTATTGAGTGAATTGGTGTCCAAGAATACTAAGCAAAGAGAATAGCTGGGTTGTAATAAGAGAGAATAATAACAGTAGCGATGAAGAAAAAGGAAAACAAATTCAAGATGCCTATTTCAGATGACCAGCTGATCTAGATAAGCTGCTGTACCAGATATACTTGTTAGCATCGTATCCATTATTTGCTGAAAGAAGGCAGGTGCAGTCTTGATGCCAAATGGTAGACGGGTGTATTGAAATAACCCTCAATGAGTGTTAATACTCAGAAGCTCTCTACTATCTTCATCTACTTCCACTTGCCGATAGGCATCGGAGAAGTCTATTTTCGTGAGACATGTTCCACCATTAAGCTTGGAAAACAGGTCTTCAGGAACTGGTAACGAATACTGATATACATCCAATGCAGCATTTAAACCGGTTGAGGAATCAGCACATATGCATATAGTTACATTGGCCTTCTTAATCACTACGATCGGTGCGGCCCATGCAGAGAAGTTGAATGGTTGGATTACACCAGCTTGTTGCAAGCGATTAAGTTCCTGATCGACTAGCTCAAGAGCAGCATATGGTACAGGACGTCTCGGACGAAAAATAGGTTTGGCATCTGGTTTCACTGGTAAGTGAGCTTTCATCTTGGTACAATGGTCAAGGTTATTCTGAAAAACAGAGGCAAACTTTCTCTTCAGTTTTCCTAGTAAACTTTCACCTGTCTTCTTTGCAAGTACTGGGGTGTCCAATGATGAACACGACACTTTGCAGACGCTGTTAATGGGTACATCCATTATTCCAAGTTTTTCTAGCATACCTAGACCAAGAAGATAGAATTTAGGCCGTTCAGTTAGATAGCATATTCATGTACAGTTAGTTTCATTGAAAGAAAATTCACACTGTAATTCACCAATGTTTTAGCATACCACCTGATGAACAGAATCGTACACAATGTCAATCACCACAAAACCAACATGCAGTCGCCTTGAACACTGCAGTGTCTAAAAGAGAACGATAACAACTTGTGACAAACCAACTGTATATGAATATGCTATCTAACTGAACGGCCTAAATTCTATCTTCTTGGTCTAGGTATGCTAGAAAAACTTGGAATAATGGATGTACCCATTAACAGCGTCTGCAAAGTGTCGTGTTCATCATTGGACACCCCAGTACTTGCAAAGAAGACAGGTGAAAGTTTACTAGGAAAACTGAAGAGAAAGTTTGCCTCTGTTTTTCAGAATAACCTTGACCATTGTACCAAGATGAAAGCTCACTTACCAGTGAAACCAGATGCCAAACCTATTTTTCGTCCGAGACGTCCTGTACCATATGCTGCTCTTGAGCTAGTCGATCAGGAACTTAATCGCTTGCAACAAGCTGGTGTAATCCAACCATTCAACTTCTCTGCATGGGCCGCACCGATCGTAGTGATTAAGAAGGCCAATGTAACTATATGCATATGTGCTGATTCCTCAACCGGTTTAAATGCTGCATTGGATGTATATCAGTATTCGTTACCAGTTCCTGAAGACCTGTTTTCCAAGCTTAATGGTGGAACATGTCTCACGAAAATAGACTTCTCCGATGCCTATCGGCAAGTGGAAGTAGATGAAGATAGTAGAGAGCTTCTGAGTATTAACACTCATTGAGGGTTATTTCAATACACCCGTCTACCATTTGGCATCAAGACTGCACCTGCCTTCTTTCAGCAAATAATGGATACGATGCTAACAAGTATATCTGGTACAGCAGCTTATCTAGATCAGCTGGTCATCTGAAATAGGCATCTTGAATTTGTTTTCCTTTTTCTTCATCGCTACTGTTATTATTCTCTCTTATTACAACCCAGCTATTCTCTTTGCTTAGTATTCTTGGACACCAATTCACTCAATAAGGCCCCAAATCAGAACACGGTCGAACAGGAAAGAAATCGTATTCCAAATAACAATGGTAGATGAAAGAGTAGGAAGTACAATAAGAAAAGCAATGAAAACAACGCGCGCGCTAATTAAAAGGACAGTGGTATTTTTCCTCGCTGAGTAAATTCTATTGTTTTGATCGTTTATTATCTATCAAGACTATTGTTTTCACTTTAATTGAATTTATTTCAGTTAAAGTATTCGATTAGAGTATCGTTTCTGTTTCTAAATTAGTTTGTCGTCGGTACGTTGTTTTCTATTGTATCTGTTAGTACTTTTGGTTCTAACAATCTACAGATTTCTACTTTTTTTGGCCATAGATCATTTTTGTCTCTGAGTATTATTGCATCTAGTTCTTTTTTTATAAAAAAAAGACCCCCGTTTAATGACTGGACAGTGCAAAAAAAGCAATTGCCAAAGTCCGGGTTGTCGTTATCCCGTTGAAAGCGGCATGCAGTGCGATGAGTGCAAAGGCTGGTACCACGAAGTTTGCACGAATTTAACGCCTACGGCTTTCAAAAGGTTCAACAAAAAGGGTTGCATTCGGCTTTGTGAATAGTGCTGTTCGGATGCAAACAGCTTGTTAACTGAGGCCAACTCACTGCTAGATGCTGTGAAAAACTGTTTTAGCAATCGTAGCCGGGACCCATCGAACAGTACTCGCTCTGTCGACACGCAAATTGATATGAAGTCAACTCAGGTGAGTTCGAAAATAGGTGACACACCGATCAAAAAAGAAAAAACAGTATCCAAAGAGGTCTGTCTTAACCAAAAACTCAAGAAAAGTAGGTTCTTCTGTTCCCCGTCTTCCAAATGGCATCCAGCAGGAAACGCCTAGAAGCCGCAATCGCAAGGCTCGATCGGTTTCTAGCGGGAAACATAACCTGACCTCCCACATCGTCGACAACCCTCCGTAATCCCACAGTATGTTTGACGCAACTGTGGTTGCTTCTCCTAGCAACCTTGACGATTGGGTACAGGTTGTAAGGAAGAAACAATATAACGATATAAAAGGGAATCGTGCCCCATAAAAGTAGTCGAGAAATTGAAGGCTGATCACAGTGGCAGATCAGTTATTTTTCATACAATCAATGAGAGTGAAAGCTCAGAACCGAAAACTCGTTTTGAGCATGACATTGTGCTGATACAACAGCTGCTTATTCAACTGATGCCTTAAAATATCCTCGAGTCCAACTTGCTTAAGGTGTACAGACTAGGTAGTCCAGCGAACTTGAAGATTAATTAATCGAGATTGCTTAAAGTAGTATTAAATCTTCAAGTGAACACGACTTAATTTTACAGAATGGGACATAAATTATAGGGTTCAGGAGTTTTTTATTCGTAAGGACTTGCTGTTGACAGACCGCGTAAAAAGACGGGAAGCCGAAGAAGAACTACAACTTAGGTTAGACACTGGCGAAAAGGACATAAAAATTGTGTTATGTTTTTATTTCATTTATAGCGTTTGTGTGTAGTCAAGAGTCTTTTTAGTTTACCTGTTTTAAATTCTTTTGCCGTTTATGTAAATACGATGTGGTCTATTTTTAAATTCTCTGCTCTAATTATATTACAGGTTGCTAAAACAATTCAAACATTAGCAAATTTCAGTTTATTCAGTGGTTCTAAAGAAACCTATATGAAATTTATGAATCAATTTGTTACAGATCAACTTCCAGCAATGAGACAGTTTCTACAATCGATTTCAGTCCCAAATTCCGAAATCTACTTCGTCACATAAATCATTGTTGAGTAGTGATACAGTTTTGAAACCATTAATTCTTTGTCAAATATTTATATAATAACAATAGTAATCTAAGTACTATTAACGGTAATACTAATAATGGTTCTATGCCAAATTCTTTACATATAATTGGTTCTGATGAAAATTGTCTGAAATCTACAATTTCCAATAAAGGTAAATGAAAAAATGGTTCCTAAAGAGAATAAGCATTTTATCAATAATAGTCAATCACATCATGGTGGATTTATCAATGATATTGATGATTATAAAAAATTATCCAAGTCATTCTCAGCATTCACCTGTTTTCACAAGTTCAGAGATCACAAATAAATCAGTAAGTAGATAACTTTTAGTTTTGATCAACTTTGTGTGCAAAAAGATTGAAGGTCACTTGGCAGAGTATTATATATATATATATATATATATATATATATATATATATATATGCTCCACATGCCTTTTTATTCGCTCGCTATCAGCCACTCGTATTCGCTTATGTGATGTGGACTGTAACAATAATATGCTGTACCCAAAGCTTCGTATTGCTTCTGAAATTTATACATCGTTGAGAGTTATCTAGGTAACGGTCATCAGGACGAGTCATATACGAAGCATTAGGAATATGTTGATGATAATCCACTAAAACGTTTTCGTCTCGGACATGGTATTGTTTTTTCAAACACTCGTGAGTAACTGTTATGGAAGTCACTCGAGCAATTTATTCAAGTTAATAGTAACTAGCTATCATAAATGATCCATAGCTAACCTAAGACCTTACTTTTATTTACCACTAGCTCGTAGTTATCTCACAGTTTAACTTATATTATTGTATCTGATAGGCTAGGAAAGTCTAAGGATATCATATTTCGGCACTCATATGCCATCTCAACATCAAACCGTAGTTTAGAGACTATAAACAAGAAATACTAATGGCGAAGGCCAATAATGTTTCTGATCAAGGTCTTAGTCTCCATTGCCTTGTCTGGGTCAGGAAGATAAAAGTGTATACAACGATGATTTGTGTACCTACTCAATCGATTTTACTGATTATTTTTCAAATCTCTTTACTGTTCAGCAGGAGTATAGGTAATTGTTATATTTGAACTGAATCCATAAACGTATCGATATCAGTGGTTAATAACTCAAGCGCTAGCATAGCGGTAAGTCCATCTATTACGGTTTAGGAAACCAGGTATTAATATTGTTCCTAACATAAACACTAAGTACCGTTAACTACACTAGAGTAACGTAACCAAGGTCAACTAAAGTCAAAGACTGCCCTGGCTTCTCAGCATATATATTGGTTATCTTAGATTGGAAAGTTCATACCCAAGGTGATTCACTCTGCAACAACAGTCAACTCTCAGCACAGACAAGGCAAAAAACAACAGGTTCAATATGGTCTGGTTTATAAAAACTGTACCAGGTAATAAGAAAGCAGTGAAGTGAAATAAAAGAAAGGAGATCTACTATAAAACAAGTCACACCTGTGAAGTACCGTTGTAATAAACGAACCTCATGAGTGCATAGTATGTAATAAGGTGTAAATCATCTCTAAAGGAATTCCAACCTAAATTTATCATTAGTGTGAACTCTAGTAAGAATAGAGCTTGCAATATTCTAGGAGTGGTAGAACACATACTTAATAAATCAAAAATACTTGACTCGTTAAGAGGGTTACGAAGTACGCAACTCAGATGATGATATTCGGAGGCCTGTTTCGAGGACCTGTCTGTGAAGGGTAAATTGTAGGAGTACTAAGTCCACTATTGTATGTAACTTGGATAACACCTTACCATTTATGGTAAAGTCTAGCTTGAGTGAAGTATTACAGAAGCACATCCATCCACACTTAACCGTGTTAAGTTCCAACTGCCATTTCGAAGACCGTTGGGCTACTTCGTTGAACTCCATTCTAATGCAATTTTGCACATTGTTCATCTCATAAGAAAATGAACACACTGATTTCAGATCATCTTCCTTTAGACGAGGCTCATCCATAAAGAGGCAATTTCAGAGCATAAGATCTAAGACACTACATTGTATCACGCCATTTCGATCGGGATAGGATTCGACAAGGAGGAGTTGGTTCCGACTATTTCGTGTTAGTGACTGAGATAAGAATGAAACCGAGGAGCAGAGGGTTTTTGACGTCGTAAGATAAATTTGCTTATAAAAAGCTGGTTGCTTACCACGTCAAAGCTTTAGAAATGTCAAAGTATGACGTTAAGACTAGACATCGTTGGTCATTGTTGAGTTAGACACTAAATTGAAGAAGTTTATTTGGGTAGGTCATACGTGGTTGATTTTAAGGAACCAGTGATAAGTTTTTCAGTGAGTAAATAGTTGGGCGAGTTTGTCACCAATAATTTTTTCCATAATCCTGGAGATAACTGGATAATATTCATGGACCGATAATTCTTTAATGCCACTCTCATCTCCAGATGTGTGACGTGGTATGATATATGCAGTTTTCCAACAGTGAGAATGAGTACCTGCTTCCAGAGGGATTAAATAACTTAAAAGAAGTGAAATATCTGATCCACTATATTTTCTAGAAAAAGAATGAAATTCCGTCTATTCCATGACCGTCTTGAAAGCTTATGGGAGTTTATAGCTTGCTAATTTCTGGGAATCGGAAAGAAAGCGATTTTATTTTCACAATTCTAAACCTAATTTAGTGATATAATCAATGAAATTGCTTCACTTTCTCAATTAAAACATTTTAATTGAATGTTATATAATCTTTTGGCTATCTGATAAAGAGTATCACTATTCTTAGAAATTTCCTCAGAATTCTATCAACTTTCCTATAATATAATTAATTAACTGACCATTCTTTTTTTATAATTTCATAAACAGAATGATTTCAAATCAAGTGTAAGTGGGAGTTCTATGTCTCAGAAGTGTCAGTCTACAAGATCGATATGTAACTCAATTTGTTTACCTCCTCTACCAACAAACCAACATGGTCATTTAGGTTTAAGAGATCATGTTGATCTACCTTTGTGTTTAGCTTTATGTCATCTTCAATTATCTGAAGCAATTGAAAAAGTTCCTGAAGATGTAAGTCTATTATGATAATGTTTCAATTTTTGTTTTTGTTACACCTGGTAGCCTTGTGCTCTATTAATATATAGTGTAATGATACTGCCAATTAGAGAACAGTTGTTATAATCTGTTTTCTTACTACGGTTAATGACCCAGCTATTCCTATTACTTAGTATTCTCGGACACTGATTCACTCGACAAGTCCCCAAATCAGAACACGGTTGAACAGGGAAAAGATTATATTCCAAATAGCAAGTCAGAAGCCAGTAGGAAGCACAATAGGGGAAAACGTTGGTATATTTATAGTTTTTACATAAGAAGATTCCAGAGTATTCTCCGACTATCGTCTAGTGCTGATTGGATAAGAATCAGCCAATCAGCGTGCACCAAAACAATCATGCATTGAGCATGCTTTAATCTAGTCTATGTCCCGCTAACAACAGTCAATTATCGACCGAACTAATGACGCATAAAACAAGTAAGAGCAGTCTAGAGTCCTTATCTGTCCTGCTTCCTGCCTAGCTCTGCCCATTGAGTCGAGAACATCAATCCCAGCCTCCGCGATATGAATCATGTATTTCAAATATACCGGGTTTATATACAAACCAAACAGACCACGTCGTACCATAAAATAGGAATCAATATTTGTACAAGTTCTAGCGAAAAGGGGCTGTGAATGTTTGAGGTAGCAATTAATAGACAGGGCACAACTCAACAATGGTTAATCGTATAATAATAGTTCATAGATCAAAATAAAGCTTATAATAAGTGGAACACAAATATGAATAGTATAGTTACTCAACAATTATACAATAAAAATATACGTATGGTATTGGGTCCATAAGTGGATCCCCAAAGTTACCACACAGATTCAACACAAAGTGTCAGAATATTCAGAACACCTATTCATATACATAACAATGAATCGTCCATTTCTACAATAACTCATACTGTCATATTACCACCATCCACGTATATTGATGTATATGATGTATGTGTAGATCATCTTTTCATTAGCGCTGTAAAAGTATTCATGTCAGCAAAATAGTTCATTTATCGGACATAACAATATCTGTTCATTACTTAACATCAGATAACTATTATTTCTTTGACATTAGCCTGTTTAGCCTTTCAAAAATAACCCTATGATTTAATTACTGGACCGATCCCAGTATGGTATTATTTATTTATTTAAACACATAAACATTGGTACAATGAGGCACCAATTAGATATGTACCACATAAATCATTCGATTTGTGTGAGGGCTGGGATACTGTCCGTGTGCCAAAACCGAAACAGGTGGTTTTCTTAGGGGGCTACACCCGAAGCCACCGACCTAAAATCTGATCCACAAGTCAGTCCCATGGTAGCCGGTGACCAACGATTGGTTCATACGCCATTTGTTCCTTCAGAATACTGGAGCCTATGTGCATTATTGGTTTGGAATCAGGGTTTTCCAACTACCCTAGATGGGCTCTTCCTTTATCTAGTTTGCATTTTGTCAAGTTCTATCTTGGATACCTAATATTTTTTATTATCATTATTACTGTTGCTAACCCCACTACTCTGAGATCTGCTCTGATAATGTAATCTCTCCGTGCTTCTGGAGTATGACTACTTGAAATGATATGTACATATGTCAGGTTTTATGTTGCGTTTGACTGAATGACTGACTAGAATAAATGCATTTTATTTTATCGGTACGGATTTGGATGTTCTATATCTAGTAAACCTTTCCTGCTATTATCCGTCGGCCAATAGAACTTGCTCATCTCTAAATGACAACATATCGCTTTTCTATGGAACTTGTTCATTTTTAAATTGCAAACATATCGAATTTATTGATAGGAAACTCGAAGCCCTTGTTAGGTTAAATCTACAAAGCAAATCGATGTGTTGTTAAAAGTATCTAGGTGGTTTTCATTTTTAAATTTGTGACATTGTAGGAAATTGTTATTTCTCGAGGGGTCTGGAAAGAAAATTGGGTTAGTGGTGGTGATTTTAATGACTGCAGAACGGAAATGAAGCAAGATTAATATAGTTTCGTTACGACCAAACCTGTTTAACCTTTCCCTCTGATTTGGCGTGGCAGCATTATTAGTGACTGGTTATGCATGATGGACACTCAGATACAACTACACCAAAGTGTTACTCACCATTCGTTAATACAAGTAAATTACTTCATAAAAGTGGCAGTATACTCAAGCGAAGTAAAAAGATACGAGATAAACTTACTTACTTACTTACTTACGCCTGTTACTCCCAATGGAGCATAGGCCGCTGACCAGCATTCTCCAACCCACTCTGTCCTGGGCCTTCTTTTCTAGTTCCATCCAATTCTTGTTCAGTTTTCTCATGTCTATCTCCATTTCTCGGCGTAATGTGTTCTTTGGTCTTCCTCTTTTCCTTTGACCTTCAGGATTCCATGTGAGGGCTTGTCTTGTGACGCAGTTGGGTGCTTTCCTCAATGTGTGTCCTATCCACTTCCAGCGCTTCTTCCTGATTTCTTCCTCCACTGGGATCTGGTTTGTTCTCTCCCACAGTACGTTGTTGCTAATAGTGTCCGGCCAATGGATCCGAAGTATTTTGCGTAGACAATTGTTGATAAACACCTGTATTTTCTGGATGATGGCTTTTGTAGTTCTCCAGGTTTCTGCCCCATACAGTAGAACTGTGTTGACATTTGTATTGAAAATCCTGACCTTGGTGTTGGTTGACAGTTGCTTTGAGCTCCAGATGTTCTTCAGTTGTAAATATGCTGCTCTTGCTTTGCCGATCCGCGCCTTCACATCTGCATCAGATCCACCCTGTTCATCAATGATGCTTCCCAGATATGTAAAGGTTTTTACATCTTCCAAATCTTCTCCGTCAATTGTGATTGGATTGGTGCATTCTGTGTTGTATCGGAGAATCCTGCTTTTCCCTTTGTGTATATTGAGACCTACTGCTGCTGAGGCTGCTGCCACACTGTTTGTCTTCTCCTGCATCTGTTGTTGCGTTTGGGATAGAAGGGCCAGATCGTCTGCGAAGTCTAGATCATCCAACTGCATCTTAGATGTCCATTGTATCCCGCGCTTTCCTTCAGACGTTGACGTCTTCATGATCCAGTCGATCACCAGGAGAAAGAGAAAGGGTGAGAGTAAGCAACCTTGCCTGACACCGGTCTTCACTTCGAACGACTTTGTCAACTGTCCTCCATGCACAATTTTGCAGTGTAATCCATCATATGAGTTCTGTATGATATTGACTATCTTCTGAGGCACGCCGTAGTGTCGAAGAAGTTTCCATAGTGTTGTTCTGTCCACGCTATCAAATGCCTTTTCGTAGTCAATGAAGTTGATGTAGAGTGATGAATTCCATTCAATTGATTGTTCCACAATGATCCGTAGAGTTGCGATTTGGTCTGTACACGATCTATCCTTACGGAATCCTGCCTGTTGGTCACGAAGTTGTGAGTCTACGCAGTCCTTCATCCTGTTTAACAATACTCTGTTGAAGACTTTTCCCGGTATTGAGAGAAGAGTGATGCCCCTGTAGTTATCACACTTGCTGAGATCGCCTTTCTTCGGTATTTTGATCAGTAGTCCTTCTTTCCAGTCTGTTGGTACTTGTTCCCCATCCCAAATCTTATTGAAGAGAATGTGGAGTATCCGTGCAGTTGCCGCTACGTCTGCTTTTAGTGCCTCTGCTGGGATGTTGTCCGGTCCTGCTGCTTTGCCACTCTTGATTTGTCTGATGGCTATGCTGATTTCTTCAATTGTTGGTGGGCCAACATTAATTGGGAGGTCCGTGGGTGCTGCTTCGATGTTGGGTGGGTTCAGTGGGGCTGGTCGATTCAAGAGTTCTTTGAAGTGTTCTACCCACCTGTTTTGTTGCTCTTCAATGTTGGTGATTACCTCGCCTTCCTTGCTTTTCACTGGTCGTTCTGGTTTGCGGCGATTTCCAGAGAGTTTCTTTGTCGTGTCATACAATTGTCTCATGTTTCCTTCTCTTGCAGCCTTTTCCGCCGTCGTTGCTAAATCTTCCACATATTTACGTTTGTCGGTTCTGATGCTCCTCTTCACTTGTTTGTTTATTTCCGTGTATTCAGCTTGTGCCTTGGCTTTTTCTGCTCTTGTTCGGCTGGTATTGATCTCTGCCTTCTTGTTCCTCCTTTCTTGAATCTTGTCCAATGTACCAACAGTGATCCATTCCTTGTGGTGGTGTTTCTTGTGACCCAGGACCTCATGACATGTTGAAGTGATTGCCTCTTTGATCCCCTTCCAGTTGCTCTCCACAGTAGTTCCTTCTCCATTGAGTAGATCATGAAAGGCCTGGAACTTGTTGCTGAGGACTATCTTGAATTTGTTGAGTTTGTTAGTATCCTGGAGAAAGGCCGTATTGAACTTTTGTGATACTGTCTGCCCCGTTGTCCAGTGCTTCTTGAGTTTCAATTTCATCTTGGCGACCAGTAAGTGATGATCTGATGCTATATCAGCTCCTCTCTTGGTTCTCACGTCCTCTATAGTCCTCCTGAACGTTTTGTTGATGCAAATATGGTCGATTTGGTTTTGTGTAGAGTGATCCGGTGAAGTCCATGTGGTTTTGTGTATGCGTTTATGTGGGAATATGGTGCCGCCTATGACCAGCTTATTGAAGGCACATAGATTTGCAAATCTCTCACCATTTTCGTTTCTTTCTCCCAGTCCGTGTCGTCCCATGATGTCTTCATATCCAGTGTTGTCCGTTCCAACCTTGGCGTTGAAATCTCCCATCAGAATGGTCAGGTCCTTTGTTGGGCACTTCTCGACGATTGACTGCAGCCTATTGTAGAATTGATCTTTCGCGTCTTCATTGTAGTCGTTGGTAGGCGCATAGCATTGAATGATGTTCATTGAAATGCCCTCTTTCTTTGTTTTGAAGGAGGCTTTGATGATCCTTGGTCCATGAGATTCCCATCCTATAAGTGCCTTTTGTGCTTGTTTGGACAGCATCAATGCAACTCCTTGTGTATGTGGTGCATTTTCTTCTTCGTGGCCGGAGTATAACAGGAGCTCTCCTGTAGTTAGTCGTTGTTGTCCAACTTGTGTCCAATGTGTTTCACTGATCCCAAGTACCTCTAGGTTGTATCTTCTCATTTCTGCAGCAATCTGGAAGGCTCTCCCGGTGTCCCACATTGTACGAACATTCCATGTACCTAAATAAATGGTCGCTCTGGTTGTCAGAAGGGGCATCGGCCTCATAACTTCCGAAGGGATTCGGCTTTCATCATGAGGCGTCATAATTCTTCTAAATGAAGATCTTCTGACTCCCAGGGCAGAGTTTAAAAGGTTTGAATAATTTTTTCTGGTTAGCGTTTTTTAGCGAGTTATTTTTCTACGGGATGGGGACGCTAACCCCATGCCCAACCCTCCTCCTTTATCCGGGCTTGGGACCGGCAGTAGCCCCCAGAGGGACTCCAGGCGGAGTTATACGAGATAAAAGGGTTATAATAAAAATGTTTCTAAAACCACCACAATCCGAACGTATAAAAACTTTGGAGCAATGAACTAGTGGTTAAAATACCCAGCTTTCAGCCAGTTGATCTCAGGTTTGAATCCTGCTCAGCTTGGTAAAATATGGCTAACCGTAGAACATCACCAACCCTCATCTAGCGTTGCTCAAGGCTAAGCACGTAAATATGTACTTCATAAATTAGTTGAAAGCAATTTAGTTGTAAAAAGAAAGATACGTCTTTTAGTGAAGTGGATTTCGACCTTTCCTAATATTATATCCATAAAGCAATTGGAAATTGGGAAAGATTAGATATTCATACGTTTCTATTCCCAGAAATGTTCATCATTATAATTTTTTGACATATTTAACTAATCGATCAATTAGGGTTTGTCGGTTTTTCAACTTGAGAATGGAATCCACAATGTTCAATCGCATTCACTCATGCTCGGGTGTATCATGTCTTTTAGAACTAAATATTATCCATTGTCTTTCCATATGTCATTAGGGGGGGGGGCTAAAGCCTTGATGCATTAGGGGAGCAGAATTGTTTACAGACTTCAGATAATACATTTGTCTCAAATATGAAAGCCAAATTAGTACCTCGGTTTCTGACTTACGGTTTATTTGAAACAAAATAAAGTTTAAAACAAATGAGACAGTTTTACAATGTTTCCGATTGGAAGTAGTCAGTGTTATATCCTCAACTTAAGTTTCTCGCTAATTGACACTGGTGCTCCCAGTCTCAGTTAAACCTGCCTACATCAACCATCTTCACAGTCTTGAACGTCACAAATGAGTCAGTCAAAGCGTTCGTTTTACTTGATTTTTAAGTTATTCCTTATAATCATATGAAAACCACTTAAATTCTTAAACTTTTTACTTATTAATAATTGTAAAATAAAATTGTAGAAAAGAATGCCTGATGTCAAAGAATTGAAATCAATCCTAGATGAAATAGATACATTTCTTGTGTCTGGAAAAGATCCTCAACCAAATTGGTGGCATAAAACAACTATGAATAATAATGATAATAATACTAATCATAGTGGTAATAAAACAACAACACCAATAAAGAATAACACACCAACGAGAAGAACAACGGCAAAAACAATCAGTGAAAATATAAACAATGAGCCTAAAAGCAATTTAAAATCACTGTGTTTTTCCCAGTCTAATCGAAATAAATCTTTAAGTAATGATGCTTATATCTATGAATGTACAAATAATGAATCAAAGTCAATAATGAATACACCATCATCAGTCAATAAAAGTATAAATCTATCCGATGATGATGATGATGATGGTGCAACAATCTCTGCATTAAATTCATCTGTCACTAGTTTTATATCACCTAAACAAATTGTTTTTCCTGAAAAAAAGGATTCTCATCATGATTCTAAAGAACAACAAATTAAAATTACAGTGAGTTTCTTTTTTTCCAACTTTTCTATTTGTTCCTGTGTGTACAGCTGTTGTGTTCTGTTATTGATGTGCCTCATTTACTGATCAGCACAATGAGTATATATGTTGATTTTGTTACAAAAAACACGGTGGTTGTTTAGTTGAAACACTTGACTTTTAACTAGTGATAAGTTGTGTGGTCGGACTCTGGTGCTTGTAATTAGATTACATGACTATAAAGTTACTGTGTAACGAATGCAGCTGGACGATCTAGACTTCGCAGATGATCTGACCCGTTTATCGCACGCGCAACAACAAATGCAGAAGAAGACGACCAGTGTAGCAGCAGCAGTAGGTTTCAACATACACAAAGGAAAAAGCAAGATTCTCCGATACAACACAACATGCACCAATCAAATCACAATTGACGGAGAAGATTTGGAAGATGTAAAAACCTTTATATATTTGGGCAGCATCATTGATGAACACGGTGGATCTGATGCAGATGTGAATGCGCGGATCGGCAAAGCAAGAGCAGCATATCTAGAATTGAAGAACATCTGGAACTCAAAACAACAGTTCACAAGCCAACACCAAGGTCAGGATTTTCAATACAAGTGTCAAGACAGTTCTACTGTATGGGGCGGGAACCGGGAGAACTACGAAAGCCGTCTTTCAGAAGATACAAGTGTTTATTAACAGTTGTCTACACAAAATACTTCAGACCGATTGGTTAGACACTATCAACAACAACCTACTATGAGAGAGAACAAACCACATCCCAGCGGAGGACGAAATCAAGAAGAAGCGCTGGAAGTGGTATAGGACTCATATTGAGGAAAACACCGAACTGCATCACAAGGCAAGCCCTCACATGGAATCCTCAAAGCCAAAGGAAAATAGGAAGACCAAAGAACACATTACGTAGAGAAATTGAGACAGACATAAGGAAAATGAACAAAAATTGGATAGAACTGAAAGGAAGGCTCAGGATCTGTGAATTGCAATTCGTCTAGTTGCATGCAGGCTGTCCATTGTATTGTGAGCTTCCTCTCAAATGTGGAGATCTTCATAGTTCTATCAACCACCAGATGGAAGAGATAGATAGAGAGTAAGCAGCCTTGTCTGACTCCAGTCCTCATTTGAGTGTGTCTGTCAGCTCCATGCACCACTTTGCAGTGTCGTACATCGTATGAGCTCTGCATGATGTTGACCATCTTCTCAGCTACTCACTCCATAGTGTTGAAGAAGCTTCCATAATGTCGTCCTATCCACATCTTCAAATGCTTCCTCATAGTTGATGATTCCGGATTCATGAGATTCCCATCCTATAAGTGTTTTACGTACTTGTTTGGACAGCATCAGAGCTATTCCCTGAGTATGTGGAGCATTTTCTTCGTAACCAGAGTACAGCAGTATCTCTCCTGAATCTAATGTTTTCTGTCTAACTTCGGTTCAATTTGTTTCACTGATTGTGAGCACCACTAAGTTGTATCTCATTTCCGTTGCTATTTGATTGATCCTCCCGGTCTCCCACATCGTACGAACATTCCATGTACCTATATTAGTTGTTGCTCTGGTTGTTAGAAGGGGCATCGGCCTCATGACTTTCAAAGAATCTGGGTTTTCACCATGAGGTGTCATAATTCCTCTGAAAGGAGATCCTTCAATTCGGAGGACAGAGTTTAAGCAGTTTAATTTGTTTATTTTGGTTAGTGTTCATTTAGCTAGTTTGTTTTATACAGGATGGGGTTGTTGACACCATTCCAAACCCTCCTCTTTTATGTGGGCTTGGGACCGGCAGTAACCCTAGAAGAGCTACAGGCTGAGTTTTTATTTGTTCTCAAAGTGAATTACATCAGGTAAATACGATTCTACAACTAAATTGGTCATTTATCTGATAAGCAAATCAACAAACTCGCTAGACAAATAGGTAAAAATATTATGCATGGTAGATAGCATTATTGAGTGTAATTCTACTGTCTTTTCTCGGCTTTATGTTTGTGTAACTCGTGGCTTAAATAGCTTAGTCGAACTTCTAACATTTCACATCGTATCAATCTTTTATAGATTATCATGAGAAAAGTATTTAAGCTAACCTTACTTCATGGTGACGAAACAATTTAAACGTATTTAAGTAATATTTTATCATTATGATTGTGTTTGCTTTTAGCCTGACTCAAATATCAAGTTTGTTGTATCAAAAGGAAAGCATAAAAATTCATGTATGCAAGAACGTGTAGCACGATGTGACTCAATAGAGATCAATAAAATTCCACATTCAAACAATCATAATAACTCGATGGATACGAATAATGAACAGATCTATGATATATTGAATCCCACAGATTCTCATGTAGCTTTACCTATTGATTCGAATGCATCTAAAAAATTTACTGAATCAAATCATGATTTCTCATCAATAACACAACGTGATAATCGAAGAAGAGTTCAAAGTACTAGAAAAACACAAGAACCTATAATTATTCATCAGAATACTATAGATACTGACAATAATGTCTGCGTTAATAATACATTACAAAAGTCGTCAGTAATAGATCACCAACAACTATCCAATCATATTGCATCAATTGATATATGTAGCGATATTATTAATCCAGAACAAACTGAACATTCAGAGTTTAGTCCAATTTATTTAGGCAATTCTTCATCATCTGGTTATCTTACTATTTCAAGTCATGGGAATATTTTAAATTATCCAGCTATAGAACAAAAATCAACTATAGTTGACCCGATTATTGTCTCCACATCGGATAATGATATCATCATGACATCATTGTCTACTACTACTACTACTACTACTACTACTACTGATATTAGTAGTATGAATAATCCTGTATACACTTATCATTCACTAAAACAAAGTAGTTCAATCGATTCCAGTGATTTTCAAAATCAAATGACAATTGTTGATGATACCAATCATTCATTAGGTATGTGTAATCTTCAACCAAAGAAAACTTCACAAAATTCTGTTAGACGACATACATATGTAAATTTATCTAATGATGCACATGAAACAGATCAACTGATTGATGCGTTAAAAGATAATCAATCTAATTATAAAATAAATAATAAAGTTAATGATATAGAATTAGATAAACGAAATTGGGCACCACCTATGTATATATCTAATGAACAAAGAAATAAACGTATCACTCTTACATATCCAACATCTTATGAACATGTAAATTCACCAACTGAATCAATAAATTATACTACAGATCAAAATACTCTCAATTATTATGGTCAAGAAAATGTAAATTTTACTGATCCATTTACATTTTCACCATCTGAACAAGAATTAGGTCAAAATTCTACATTACAAACAGAAATTCAACGAATCAAATTTATTCCATTAAATACTTCTCATACTATTGGTGCAATTCCCAATAAAAGGACTGCACTATTTTCATCAGAAGTAAGCTTTTACTCTCTCTCTCTCTCTTTCCTTGTTATTCTTTTATTATCAGAAGGGGTTTGTGGAGATTTTAGAAATTTTCACAGATTGAAATCATGAGTCAGTTGAAGCTAGACCACCATTGAAAACCTGGAAGCACTGGACGGCCGTTTCGTCCTAGTATGGGACTCCTCAGCAGTGCGCATCCACGATCCCGCACCCCACGGGATTTCAATCTGTGAAAATTTCTAAAATCTCCACAAACCCCTTCTGATAATAATCATCTGCTCACTAGTGGCTGACTTCAAGAGATACTCCTGGAGTTTCAGTGGGAAGCCGTTACCAGTGGAGTTCAACCAGGTCTGTTGTGAGATATCAACTCACTGAAGACAATGGTATATGGTGGCGCAACTTCGTGGATTGGTTGAAATTAGACATCAACACCATTGGATGCCGGCTCAGTGGTCTAGTGGTTAAGTGCTCGTGCGCGAAGCCAGTAGGTCCTGGGTTCGAGTTCCGTGGGGTGCGGGATCGTGGATGCGCACTGCTGAGGAGTCCCATACTAGGACGAAACGGCCGTCCAGTGCTTCCAGGTTTCCAATGGTGGTCTAGCTTCAACTGACTCATGACTTCAATCTGTGAAAATATTCTTTTATTGAGTAAAATTAACGAACACTTTTTATTTTGTGGAATATTGATACAAAAGTCTGATATTGTTTAACAGGTAGATAATCAGAAACTACGCAGCATTTGATTTCAATCCCCACAAACCACTTAACTCTATCTCAAATGAAACAGGTAATAATACTACTTATAATAATATTGAACTATCCGGGTGCTATATGGCACATTGGTATAAATTTGAAGTGTTTACCTTTGGCTTTCGACTAAATGATGTCCTCCTCACTCCAAGATCAGGATTTTTAGAAGTGCTTCTAATTCACTCACCAGACCAATGCCCTAAACGTGAATGTTACTGATGATACTCAGTTGCTCAAATCGAAGTAAACGTAGCGAGATTCGAACCAGGGACGTGACGGCTGCAAGTTAAAAGCCCTAACCACTGAACCACAACAGTTAATGTCAGTCTTTGATAAAAATCTACCTTTAATTAGAACGGATATCAGTTGATTGATTACTGTCTAGTCACTAATATCACATCTTTAGTACATTGATGGTAATCGAAACTTGTTCTACGAACCAATTCTTTCTTCTTGTACTATATCTCTATATGCAATCTTTCTCTTATATATTACCACCTTTGACCTAACCACTGCTATGAATCCGGTGTTCATCTTGTTGTGCTGATGCGGTATGGCAACCTGGACCGATGCACATATGTGCCTGGTCCTACGTTGTAGCTGACTGACTGACTGAATCAAATTGCAATGTGACTGTTAGTCTGAGTGACTTTACATCACGTGCGTTTGTTGATACTTTAGATGGTTAAAGGTAGTTGGCAGGAGACTGGACACTGGTTTCATGAACTAGAGGACTAGAAATACGCGAAATTGATTAAGAATCAGTGATTAACCTATTATAAATATTTCATTCCTACTGTAGGTACATAGACCTTACAGACAAGTAGCAGATAACAAGAAACTTGGGTCCATGGTTGCCTAACGACTTTCAGCCACCTAACAGAAATAAACCCCATTAACCATTCAACTCAAGAAAAAGATTGTCACATGAATTAAATCAAAAGAATTGGGTTTTCTCATTTAGTTTAGTATTTAGTGTCAATCACAATTACAAAAAGCATTCGAATGTTAAAGGGTTAACTAAGATACATAAGAAATTCTAAACACCGAGCAACAGATTGATATCAAATACCTTGAATGTGTATTTCAGTGTTTTTAATCATGGATTTTCAGTGTTTCTTGGAATTTAGATAGTTTATTATACTTAGAAGTAACATTTTACATTAAAGAACCTTCTTGAAACAAAGAGGTTTGTTTTTAAACCACATTCTAAGCATTTTCATTTCACAAGCCATAGCTACACTAACGATCACATCACTCAAAAATCAAATAAAGTGACATTTCGATAATGTAATGAAAAGACGAAGATTATCAGAACTATGTGATATATTAGCGCAATACATTTCGTCAAGTATACGAAGTTTTGTACATACAGGAACTGATCCAAAATACAACACATCATCTGAACACAGCTTGAGGGAATTGGTTAAATGAAACTCAAAAAACCGAAATAATGATGATATCATCAACAAATAAAAACTACACATATATATGTAGCAGTTGAAAAAGAAATGAACGAAATAGAGAGATAAAACGTTTATTTATTTAAACACATAAACATTGGTACAACGAGGCCCCAAATAGATATGCACCACATAAATCATTCGGTTTGTATGAGGGCTGTGATACTGTCCGGGTGCCAAAACCGATTCAGGTGATTTTCTTAAGGGAGGCCACATACGGAGCCTTTGACCTAAAGGTCTAATCCACAAGTCAGTGGAGCAACGTAAGGAGACGCAGTTTCATGGTAACCGGTGACTAACGATTGGTTCATACGTCTTTTATTTCATTAGGATCCTAGAGCCCATGTGCATCATTGGTTTGGAAGCAGGGTTTTCTAACCCCTTTAGGTGGATCCTCCATATCTACCAACTCGACTGAAGAGTCGGACGTTGACTTTTCGTCCTTTCAATTTCGTAAACAACAGTAATGCCGCGAGAAGGTAGTGAGTAGGAGTTCCCTGTTAATGGTTGTATACGCTTTGCGATGTAAAATCATTTCGAGTGGAAGGGCTGACCCTTCCCATTTTCTTCCGTACCACGGCATCTCAGGGCTATAAAATAGCATTGAAATCTGAGATTTGATAATGCAACAAAGAATTAACAGTACGCATTCAGAAACTGGTCTCCAACCAGGGATTCTATTTATCTCATGGACTCAAATAAGGTGTGCTTCTCTACAAATGTATTGGTTCAGCAGTAAATGAATCCAGATTGATACTGCTTCTTGATGTGGTCGACTCTAGGATTTTGGAGTCTTTTCAGATGATTGCAAACATTTTACGTTGGTCAATAAGGATTTAAAGTCTTATCAATCGATTTGTCATTATTACCTATAACCATATCTTTAACCGTTAGCATTACATACTAAATGATTCCGTTATGCTAAACAATTTTTGGAAGATGCCTATGATCAATTACTTACAAACTGGATATGTTTCTCACTTCTATCAACCATGTTTTACAGTCAGGAAATAATACAAAACGAAATTTTGCGTAGTATACTTGTCCTTTGATACACATAAAAATGTCCTACCTGACCCATAAGTTAACTAAAGTGAAATGTAGGTGCAGCTGGTAAACACAATTATTTCATTCCCCGTGGTCAATGCATATCATCTATTATGTTATATGTTTAACTTGTATTACATACGCTTGAAACCTCCCGGGAGGGGAGAGGATGTTCCAATTATTTTCTGGGATCTCCTGTCCAGTTGTTACCAAGGCCTTTTCATTCATGATGTCTGCCTCCGATTCCCAGTGCAACGTGTTTTTGAGTCTTCCTCTCCCTTTTTCCATCAGGATTCTAGATTATAGCTTGCCTAGTGATATAATTTGATGGTTTCTGCGATGTATGTCTTATGCACCTCCTGCGTCTTTTCCTAATTTCCTCTTCAATTGGAATTTGATTTGTTCTCTCCCACAGTAATTTGTTGTTATTTACTTTGTATACTCTAATTATTTTTTAAAAGGAAATAAATTAACACATCACTTGAAATTTTTGCATGTTTCTTTTGATGATCATGAAGAATAATACACCTACAACTATAATAGATCTTCGAAGTGAGTTGGATGCATCACAAGCACGTTTAGCTGAAGCTCAAGCACGTCTACTAGCTAATGAAGCCGAACGTATTCAAATATTGAAATCATGGCAAAATGAACTGATCAAGCAATCTCAATTAATTAATGCAAGTAAAGCGGTCTGTAATAATTCACCAATTCCTCAATTTTCATCTAATTTACATTTAACAAGTACAGAAAGTAATTTACACTGTAATCCTGATGAGAATGACTTTAATGAAGGTGGACCTAGATCAATATCAGTAATACCTTTACTAAATTCAAGCGGATTGAGATCACAAAATTACTCCGAAAGTATCTATGATTATGATGATAGTGAATTGATGAATAATACTGAACCAAATAAACAATACATTACTGATACAAATATTCAATCATATAATAGTAATGGGATTAGTCGAAATTTTGGCTTACATGCATCATCTCCTAGCTCATATATAAAGTCATTAAGGTAAGTGTTGTTCGTTTCTGTTTCGTACAACCTACTGAATATATATAAATTAATAGCTACTCAGATAAGCCACAAGTGTCTTTGATTGCAGTTCCAAATACAAGTGAAATTATACCTCATAACATAAACAACAAATCAGAACTGTTGCGTTTTTTCTCTTTATTGACTTTATCTTCTTGAATAAATAACGTTAGAATAATAAAGAACGTGTTACTTTAGTTCATTACTTGAACTTTATAAATTCAAAACTGAAGAAACTCCATTTGTCACTTAAATACTTTTGATGGTTATGAGGTGGTACTTGTTAATTAGAGTCGAGGTATGTGTTTTAATTTGATCTTTCTCGCTCTATGTGAACTTGATTGTTACTGCAATAATACAAGTCACGTAATCATAAAATAGTGAGTAAGAATGTTCTTAATGCTATTTACCTTACTGACATACGCCTATAGTCCACCAAGAAGAAGCAAAGGCCATCTATCAGGATTCTTCAACCAACTCTGTCCTAGGCAATCCATTCCAGTTGCTATTCATCCTTTTCATGTCTGCTTCCAATTCTCGGCTCAATGAGTTCTCTAGCCTCCCACTTTTCATTCTCCCCTCAGAATTATAAGTTAGGCCTTGTCTAGTATTGCAGTTTGATGATTCCCGAAGAGTATGTCCTATCCACTTCCAACGTCTTTTCCTAATTTCCTCTTCAAGTTGAAGCTGGTTGGTTCTCTCCCACAGTAGGTTGTTGTTGATGGTATCCGGTTGACAACGGACATTGAGTACCTTGAATATAAAATTGTTTACAAATACTTGTACTTATTTGACGATGGTTGTAGTAGTTCTCTAAATTTCAGGGACACATGTCGTTGCATTTTCGTCATTTTGGGATACGCTCCCACTGATTGTTGCCTGGATGAAGTGAAAGATGCCACAGAAAGCTTTGTGAACTTCATCAAAAAGCTAAACACTCGGAAGTAGTACTAGTAGCAAGTAACTTTAATGCCCAAGTAGGTGGCTTAAATCAAACAGAAAGACATTTAGGTGAATATTTTAGTATTCCGGCTCAGCGAACAGATAATGGTGACCGTCTGCTGCAACTGTGCTCAGACAATCGTTTATCTTTAACAAGCACTAATTTTAAACATAAGGAGAGATATCGTCTAACATTAGAGTTGAACTCAACGTCACCTATGGCGAAGGTGAGATATCCGTCTATCAATAAAAGGATGAGTATACTGTGAGGCAGTTCGTTCCGTTCTACTTTACGGCTGCAAAATGTGGCCATTTAGAGTATATGATACTTGTAAGTTACTAGTATTTGATCACAGATGTCTTAGAAATATTGCTCGCATCTGCTGGGATCACCGGGTAAGCAGTAGTAAGGCTAGATGGGGATGATGAGGTCGCGAATCTCCATCAACTGAGATGGTTGGGCCACGTGTTACGTATTCCTGAATCCCGATTACCACGACACGCAATGCTGACTAGTTTTGGAGACGGTTGGTCAAACAGAAACTTTGCATTGGTCCATAAAGTCATTAACTTCTGATCTGAGCCATGTTGATAGATGCAGACTACTTGGTTGGGGTCCGCGCGGCTATCATAAACAATGGTTGGAGACTGTGGGTGACATGGCTCAGAATCGATCACAATGGCGTAGGTGTATACACTTTTCGTCTTCCCTTAAACCGTGAGGCTAAAATTACTTTATAGCTTCCTTTCTACCTGTATCATATCATTATATAGTTTTTTTCACCATTGATTTAACTACTTCGATGAATTTCGTGGTCTTGTTATGCTAATAAGGTGTGGCAACTTTTACTGATGCATATATGTGCTTGGTCCTACGTTGTAGCTGACTGACTGATTTCCTTCTCTTGCAGCTTTTACCGCTGTCATTGCTAGATCTTCTACGTATTTCTGCTTGTTGACGCTAACCAGAAAAAAAGTTCTTATTATGAACTGTTAGAAATGATGTCCTGACCGAAGCTGCTACCTTGACGCGGTGGTCAGGCTTGCCTATCGTGATGACCCAACCGAGCTATATTGGCTGGAACATATGTTCCTGTAGGTTCTACCATGCCAGACAGGTTGACCTAAGAACGGTAAGACTAAAAGCAGCAACTCAAGGTCTGAGGGCGAAGTCGTACTGCTGACTGTAGAGGGGTGTGACAGCAGTAATGTGTTTCCCTTGGACAACCAGCATCTGCAGCGATGCTGCCTTCCCACAATGAGGGGTGGGGTTAGAAAAGGTCGACCCTAAAAATGTCACACCTCACGGATTCGAGTACATGGAACGCTATTCCTGGTCTCCTGAAACCACGCTCTAAACTACACGTATGAACACTGCCAAATAGGACAGCAGGCTTCCTTAGCTAGGACTTTAGAATCTCGCGCCATCGATGTGTGCTGCGTCTCCGAAACGCGCATACAGGATCCGAGTAGCGTCATTCATTTGACCTCACCATGCCAAAATAAAGAACCGACTCGATTTACGCTTCGTGTATCTGGAAGCCCTGATTCTGCTTCCCGTGGCCTTGCCGGCGTAGGTATAGCATTGAGTCCTAGGGCAGAACTAGCTCTCTTAGAGTGGATCCCAGTAGACAGTCGTTTGTGCGCTGTCCAACTAAACGGAACAGTAAGGACTCGGAAAGATAGGGACACTCGTCGTTGCCTCTTCGTCGTCTCTGCCTATTCTCCCACTGACTGCAGCTCAGATGATGTAAAAAATGAGTTTTACAGAAAGCTTTCCGAACTTCTCCGAAAAGCTAGGCGCTCTGATGTAGTCATAGTGGCTGGTGACTTTAATGCTCAACTAGGTAAACTAAGCGATAAGGAAAGACACCTAGGTGGATCTTATGGTGTCGTGCCTCAAAGAACAGATAATGGCGACCGTCTGTTGCAGCTATGCTCAGATAACCGCCTGTTCCTTGCAAACACTAACTTTAAGCATAAGGAAAAACATCTTTTAACATGGCGACCCCCTAATTCGTCCCAACGTTGGACCCAAATAGATCACATCGCTATCAGCCACCGATGGAGGGGCTCGATAGAAGACTGTCGCTCATTCTGGAGCACATGCCTAGATTCAGATCATGCTCTAGTACGAGCGCGTATCTGTCTGCGTCTTACTGGACGTAGGAAAGATCCTGCAAGGAAACCTCTTAGGGGCATACTTAATGATAGTCAAGCTAAGAGTATATTTCAGGAACAACTAGGAAAACAGTTAGGCAGCCATGTATGTGATGCCCACTCCGATGCAGCATGGGATGATATCCGAAAAGCTGTGGAAACAGCAGTGATATCTGCTAGTAAGTTAAACCAGAAGGTTAGGGAGCAACACTGGATCTCAGCAGCATCTATCTCACTGGTAGATGCTCGGAAACTCATTCCACCTGGCTCTGAACATAATGAAGAGCGGAGTCAGCTTAAGCACAAGCTGAAAAGAAGCCTACGCAATGATCGCGAACAGTGGTGGGTAGCGAAAGCAAGAGAGATGGAAAAGGCAGCGGCAATAGGTAATAGCAGACAATTGTTCAGACTTGTTAGGGAAACCGGTATTAGGAACCCGACCGTTAGCGAAACAATCTCAGAGAAAGATGGACATATTATTCATTCTCAATCTAGGAGATTGTATCGATGGGCAGAACACTTTAGGGATCACTAGTATAGGGGTTGTGGAGATTATTAAGTTTTTTGATTGAGATCATGAACCGATTGATGTTAAACCATCACAATTGAAAACCTGGAAGCACTGGACAGCCGTTTCGTCTTATTGTGGAGCTCCTCAGCAGTGCGCATCCACGATCCTGCGAGCGGGATTCGAACCCAGGGCCTTCGGTCTCGCGCGCGAACGCTTAATGTAGGTCCTCCGTCCCTTTACGAAGTTGAAAAAGCCATAGGAAATCTGAAACGAGGGAGAGCAGCAGGCCCTGACAGGTTTACTCCTGAGATTTTTAAGGATGGTGGTCCAGTATTAGCAGTGAGACTAACCGAGGTCTTAGGTAGAATTTGGGAACTGGACGTAATCCCATCTGACTGGTCTCAATCACTGATTGTGCCAGTTTTTAAGAAAGGACAAAAGTCCTCTTGTGACAATCACAGAGGAATCAGTTTGACTAATATAGTGTCTAAAATATTAGCTTCAATAATACTTCGACGCCTAATCAAAGCTCGTGAAGAGCAGATTAGAGAAAACCAGGCCGGTTTTCGACCTGGACGTGGTTGTATAGATCAGATATTCACACTACGTCAGGTTCTAGAACACAGACACACATTCAGACGCCCCACAATGGTAGTATTTCTCGATCTTAAGGCGGCATTCGACTCTGTTGATCGTGAGGTTCTATGGCAGTGTTTGTCACTGAAAGGAGTACCAAAGAAGTACATTAACCTTATAAAGGCTCTACTCGAACACAACTGAACTGGTCGAGTGAGAGCTTATGGCGAACTGTCATCAGAATTGATTACCTCAAGTGGTGTTCGTCAGGGCTGTCCACTCTCTCCATTCTTGTTCAAATTTGTCGTCGACTTACTTTTAGAGATAACACTTTCCTCGTCTAGATTTCTAGGGGTTGAACGTGTACCGGGAGGTTCACTTGTTGACATAGAATATGCTGATGACATAGTTTTAATTGGCGAAGACGCTGACAAAATGCAGAGTCTTCTGACCACTCTAAGCAACAATGCAAGCATGCTCGGGATGCGATTCTCTCCCTCGAAATGCAAAATGTTGCTTCAGGATTGGGTTACATCGACACCCGAACTAGTGATAGGCAGTGACGTAATTGAGCGTGTCGACCACTTCACTTATCTTGGAAGTCTCATCAGCCCTTGTGGTTTAGTGTGTGACGAAATCTCAGCACGGATACAGAAGGCTCGACTAGCTTTTGCCAACTTGCGTCATTTATGGCGCAGGCGAGATATCCGTCTATCAACCAAAGGACGTGTTTACTGCGCAGCAGTTCGTCCCGTCCTACTTTATGGCAGTGAAACGTGGCCGTTAAGAGTACAGGATATTCATAGGCTACTAATATTCGATCATAGGTGTCTTCGAAATATTGCTCGTATATCATGGGACCATCGAGTAAGTAACACAGCTGTTAGGAAACGAGTACTAGGTAAGGATGGCAAATCAATTGATGAAGTAGTGAATCATCATCAGTTGAGATGGCTGGGACACATGTTACGTATGCCCAACGACCGACTGCCTCGACGTGCTATGTTCAGTGGTATAGGAGTAGGTTGGAAGAAAGCTAGGGGCGGCCAGACCAAAACATGGCACAAGTTCATGAAGTCACTGATAAGTGGACTGAGTCATGTTGGTAGGTGTAGACTACCTGGTTGGGGACCACGAGATGATAGCAACCGATGGTTAGAGACATTGAATGACATGGCTCAAAATCGTTTGCAATGGCGCAGGTGCATCCACTCTTTGTGTTCTCTCAAATTCTAATTTTCTGAACTCTTCATGTCCCTTTCTTTTTCTCTTTCCAAATTTATTTCACTAGATTATAGTCCTTGAATAACATCTTCAAACCCTAATTTTTCTGATTGCAGCTTATAATCTTGCTACATCGAGCACTGCGGATTTGAATCGACCACTGCATCTCTGTGCTAATGTGGTGTGGCAACTCGAACTGATGTACGTACGTACGAAGTTCTACGTTGGTACTGACTGACTGACTGACTGAGAAATGATGTTAGGAATCTCAGCAGTAAATAATCGGATAGTTTGCTTTGATAGTTCTAAGTGTACTTTTAAAAATTAGATTCACTAGTTGATATTTATCTAATTTCGTCTAATATTCAAGTCGTTACATGACCTACCTGTTCATGTCAATTCATGTTGTGAAAATCAACTTTTTCTAACCGGTTGAAATAATTTATTGATAATTCTCAAGTATGATAGCTATTTAAAGTAATTAGCCCCTTTGATAAGATGAATATTACCAGAACTATGCGATATATTAGCGCAATACATTTCGAACAATCTGATTACACATATACTTATTGTTTTGCTCTTTTATAACATTCATTCTTGAAAATACAGATCACATACCAATCAACCTCGTATGGGAGCGTCTGCAGTTGTCACAAACTTACACGACTATCACGGGGCACCACCAACGAGTGATTATCTTCAGTCGACAATACCACGAAGTAGAATAGTAACCAATCGGGGTTATCAATTACACAATACTACTACAACCATTACATCACCAACTAACACGGAATTAGATGAATTCTGTCGAATATCACGTAGTCCTTCTACACCGGGTTTATCTAACTCAAATTTCACACATACTCCTCGTGTAGATCCTGCTGGTGATATGGACAAAGAGTTGAATTCAATAGACAATCCAATTGACCCTGTTACTAATGACGAAGAATTCGCTAGACAAATTCAAGCTATTGTACATGAGAACAATCAACATTTATATTCATAATAACTAAATTCACAAATGTAATGAGGCATATCATCCTCCTTTTTTTCTAAATGCACAAATAGCGTCGACGACAACAACAACAATAATAGCTCCAATACTGTTATTACTACTACGACTACTAAATATACTATTTGATATGTAACTTCTGATTCATTTGTCACGGAAACAATAATTTATATTTTTCTTTGCTCACATATCAAACCTTTTGCCCCTCCCCCCTCTACAAAAATATAAACAATAACGAAAATAAGAACAAAGGAAACTCATTCTCTTCCCCCCCTTCTCTCTCTATGGTAATTTATAAATAATTACTTGATATATATATATTACTTTTTACATAAATATGCAAGTGAACTTTCTATATATTTTGTTTATCATTTATTTATATGAAACTGTTCACTACAGCAACCACTATCAACTACAATGACTAAACCGGCACAAATATTTCTCTCTCTTTTTTGTATAGATTATTGATTTATTGACTTCATATGAATATAATATTCTTTTCTTTGTGTTATTGAGGCGACAAAAAAATCATGAATATTCTTTGTACAACAAACAACAACATCCATCAAAATAAATTAGTTTACATTTCTCTTTACGATTTCTCTTTTCGATTGAATTTTGTGATGGTGGAGAAGATTTGTAGCCCAGCTGGATAATTTTCATGGAGTTTTGTTCTCTGAGCTGGATGGTTTCGTCGTGGAGATTTCATCGTTCTTCTAAACGACATCATCAGCACAAACTTCAGATAGAGGTGAAGTGTTCGAATTTCTCCATATGTGTTTTACAGCTTGTTCTGTACACCTCGATGTTGATTGGTTCTTATTGAACAAAAATCAAACCAATGGGAGACACAACCAAAACAAAGGAGTAAACAGTGACAAATTTAAAGTCAATAAGAACCAATCAACGCCGAGATGTACAGAACAAGCTGTGAAACGCATTTGGAGAAATTCGAACACTTCACCTCTATCTGAAGTTTGTGCTGATGATGTCGTTCAGAAGAACGATGAAAGCTCCACGACCAAATCATCCAGCTCAGAGAAAAAAACTCCATCAAGAATGAATCTTGTTTTGTTCTTTTTCTTTCTTAATCTGTTCCATTATATGGAATATGAGTTGATGAAATTTTAATGTTAATATGCATAGTGTGGTCATTTCCTTGACATCACCCTAGCCGAAACGGGGAGCTGACTCGATACATTATCCGTTTACTTGACTACCCGACGGCGAATTCTCGTGGACTGATGGATATAGGCATAGGACTAAGTACGAGGGTAGAAGAAGCACTTTTAGAATGGATCCTTGTAAAAACTCAGAAGGATAGGGACACACATCGTTGTCTTTTCATCATTTCGGCCTAAGCTCCCATTCATTGATTAAAAAAGTCTACATTGTTTACATGAAGTTTTCAATTGGATTTTGTTCTTTTTCTTCTTAATCCTTTCCATTATATGGAATATGAGTTGATTAGATTTTAATGTTAATATGAATAACATTTTAAATGAGAGAGATTCAAGCAGTCGTTGTTTCTTGTTAAAATAGATACTAAGCGTTGCTGAAACAAAAAACTACAAACTTATTCTTATTTCATTAGCTTCAAGCACCATGGATACTTCGGTTCCTTACCATGAGGATTATTTATTTATTTAAACACATAAACATTGATACAAATAGATATGCGCCACATAAATCATTCAGTTTGTGTGAGGGCTATGATACTGCCCAGGTGCCAAAACCGAAGCAAATGGTTTTCTTAGGAAGCCACACCCCAAGCCTTTAACCTAAACGTCTGATCCACAAGGCAACGTTAGGGAATGCAGTCACATGGTAACCAGTGACCAGCGATTGGTTCATATGCCATTTGTTCCTTCAGGATACTGGAGCCCATGTGCACCATTGGTTTGCAATCAGGGTTTTCCGACTCCCCGAGGCGGACTATCCGTGTCCACAAACGCGATTAAAGCGCCGGACATTCGCTTTTCGTCCTCTCATTTTCGTAGACAACACCCCCGCCACGAGAAGGCAATGAGTAGGACTTCCCTGGCAGAAGCTATATACGCGTGGCCATGTGAGAGCATTTCAATAGGGGGAGCGAACTCTCCTCATTTGGGAGCTTAGTATGAGGAAGTTGAAATTGTTCCTTCTAGTCAAAAACCTTTTCTTATATTGCCACCTAATCAGTTCGTTGTCAATGTACGGCTTAAGATAAATTTGTGTTGGCTCAAGTTGATCTGTAATATGTCAGCTGACCTTTTAAAAGCATCATAATGAACTGTAGGTAGCATAAATCTTCTCTTATTAGATTTCTTTCAAAACTGAAAAAAGACTAACACGATACCGTTTATCTTACTTTCTAACCCATAGATTGAGAATAAATCTCATTCGTAAATGAGATTTGTGGTGTCCAAAAAAAAGATACAATAGGGAATAATTTCAAAGTTAGTCATTACTTTGAGGAATATGATTGTTATGTTGTGACTTTCTTTTACTAAACAACTAGTCTGAATTCTGAATGATTGTATTACTAAGAATTTAGCTTGATAATACTAAGAGTACTTGTCATAGAAATATTTAAAAAATTGTAATTTTTGTATGCTATGCATACATGTAAATACTGAGAATTAATACATATGAATTGTATAACGTTGCATACTGAAACCATGAAGTGTACAGTATCAAGTTTGAGTGAATTATATCAAGTAGATATAAACTAGAAGTGAGATCATGGATCTATAAGAATGAAGGTGAAGTGAGAGTGTTCTCCATTCGCATTGACATCTTGTGTTGTTAACGTGGAGATTATACTGCTTTTTCGTCTACCTCTATCAACTTTAAAGTGTCCAACAACAAAATTGCATTTCTACGTTACGATGAAAACAAGATTAGAAATGTCACTATTTCAGAAAAAATTTTTAGTTTAGAAGCAAACAAACCATTAGTATGAGGTTGTGGAGATTATTAAATTTTTGATTGAGATCATGAACCGATTGACGTAAGACCACCATAGAAAAACTGGAAGTATTAGACGGCTATTTCGTCCTATTGTGGGACTCCTTGGAAATTCACATCCACGATCCCGCTCGTAGGATTTGAACCCAGAGCCTTCAGTCTGGTGTGTGAGTGCTTAACCTCCAGATCACTGAGCCGACATCCAATGGTGTTAATGTGTAACCAATCTGATGGTCTACGGAGTCAGTCATAAGGTGATTGGTTCAAGGAAGTTCAGCTGTCGATCATCGGATCTTAGCTTTATAGTTAAAGACTAGTTTAAACACACTGAATAACACAATACTGATGATATCAGTGTGAATACATCGACACACGATGGTGATTCTACGTTTCAGAGTGGATGAGCTAGAACATCTAAAACTAGTTCAAACGACCAAATAATGTCACCATTATTTACTGTCAGATGATAGATATGCAACTCATATTTTATTTATGTGATCTAATGGATTAGATTTCTTTTTCAATCATTTCAAAGTGAAAATCGGTAACAGAAATAGTTTTGGCGAGACTATAATTTATGGACGAACCAATCACGTATAAGACAACAGGTCTCGAATTTTGGCACGAACTTCACTCATCCATTTGGCTGAAGAGTTTTGGCATTATAGCTAATGTCAATTCATGATCAAAACCCGAAATGGAATTCCTAACCGTAATCACCAACTGTGAATCATAATGGTAATTCCTCACACAGGTTTATAACCATCATTTGATCCTGGTTATTAGGCGGACTCTCTCAAGGTCACTTGAATGTCGTTCAACGGTTGTCCATAAGTAATAGTTTCACCGTAGTTTTTGGTCAATTTAAAAGGTCTAGTCAATATTGAATTTCAAAGTGAACCAATTGTTATTCAGTCAGTTAACTACATCATAGGACTAGGCACATATATGCGTCGGTCCAAGTTGCCATACCTCATTAGCACAGCAAGATGAATACCGGATTCATAGAAGTAGTTAAGTCAGTGGTGGTAATATATAAAGGAAAGATTGCATATAAGGATATAGTACAGGAAGAAAGAATTAGTTCGTAGAAAGATATGAAGCGATTTTAATCTCTTAGTTTAAGGGAAGACAGGGAGTGTATACACCGACGCCATTGTGATCGATTCTAAGCCATGTCACCCAGAGTTTCCAACCATTACGATATTCACGCGGACACCAACCAAGTAGTCTGCATCTGCCAACATGGCTCAGACTAGAAGTTAGTGACTTCAATGACTGATGCCGCGTTTTGGTTTGGCCGTCCCTAATACTCTTCCAACCATCTCTAACACCTGTTAGCATTGCACGTCGTGGTAATCGGTGCTCATACATACGTAACACGTGGCCCAACCATTGCAGTCGATGATGATTCACAACCTCATCAACTGATTTACCATCATTCCCTAATACCCTGCGTCTAACCTCACTATTACTTACCCGGTGATCCCAGCAGACGCCAGCAATATTTCTAAGGTATCTGTGGTCAAATACTAGTATATTCTATTCTTAATGGCCATGTTTCGCTGCCGTAATTTAAAACAGAACGGACTGCCGCGCAGTATACTCGTCCTTTTATTGATAGACGGATATCTCGCCTTCGCCATAGGTTACGTAAGTCGGCAAAATCCAAACGAGCTTTTCGAATCCGTGCTGAGATTTCGTCAGACATCAACCCATTAGGGCTGATCAGACTTCCAAGATAAGTGAAGTTGTCAACGCGTTCGACTACTTCACTCCCTATCCTTAGTTCAGGTGTTGACGCAGGCCAGTCCTGAAGCAACAACTTGCATTTAGAGGGAGAGAAGCGCATTCCAAACACTCGGGCATTGTTGCTCAGTGCTACTAGAAGACTCTGCATTTTATCAGCGTCTTCATCAAACAGGACTATATCATCTGCGTATTCCAAGTCGATAAGTGGACCTCCTGGAAGGAGATCAATACCCGAGAATTGTTATCATCACCACTTGAACTATCAGTTTGTGTCGAAATATTTTCCTTATTTTAATAATTAAGAAATAAACATTTCCATGTTCAGTCAGCTACAACGTAGGACTAGGCACATATTATGCATCGTGACAACTGCTTGAGGTCGATCACACACGA